TCGTTTGAACTTTCTATCCCCGGCTTACTGGAAAGGAGCCCTGGTGGCAGTGTGGGTTTGGCGTTGGTGTCAGCAAGGTGAGCGACTAAGATCTGCCAACCAGCTGCTCCTGGGGAGAAAGATGAGACTGTCTGTTCCTTTAAAGATTAACTTTCTGGGTTGCTATGAGTTAGAATAGATCCAGAGGCAATGGGTTGGGTTAGGTTTGATCTATGGTACGAAGGCAGTGATGGTGCAGAAAGGACACTTGGTTCCTGCCCTTTACTGGGCTGCATCTATTTAGCTGTGTGGCCTTGGCCAACCCTAATCATAACTTTTCTGGTCTTAGGTTTAAATCTTAGCAGGAAGGAGTGGTAGATTCAGACCAGGAGAGTATGAGGACCTTAAAATGCCCCACCAATTCTTGGGCAGACTGATGGGGAAGGCCCTTCTCCTGGCGTTGCCATTTTTCCATAAGCTGGGGTGTGTGTGTGTGTGTGTGTGGGAGCGGGGGGCTGTTCTATCTCCACACTCCCTCTGCCTAGAAGCAGGATCAGCCAGCTGTTGACAAAGGCACAGTTTGCTTTCTGAGGAGAGGAATAGGTGCCTGGCAGTTCAGATGTCAGTCTTCAAGACTGGGCCCCTGAACCACTCTGCCTTTGAACTCAAGCGAGCCAGACTTAGCTCAAATAACTATGTATGAGTGAATGGGGTGGTGGTGGTGGTGGGGCAAAGGGGAGATCACACGGCCATTATAAGATCAAGACCACCAGTGTGTTCTGCATCTGCTTTGGGCAGGGCCTGGCCTCATCTTGGTGGGGGCTTTGGTGTTCAGTGACTTTGGGGTCAGGAAAACGTGTTTGAAGCTCTCTAGACTTGGAACCGGTAGAAACATTTCCTTATTTTGCCAACCTTCCAACGGAATCCATTTAATAGCAGTTCTTCAAACAGGCATCAGAACACTGAAAGCCCTTGTGAAGAAATGCCACCGAGCGGCAAGTGCCCCTCTACCCCTGGCTGTTTCTCTCTTCTCCCAACTCCCTGCCCATCCCTTCCTACACATCTGTGCTGATCCTGGGTGACCAGCTTCCCTGGCTGCAGAAGCTCACACAGCCATGCTGCAGGATGTGGACAAGCCTGCAGGTTCTTTCTCTTGCAGGATCTCTGCTTGCCTTAGGGCATGGAGTCCTTGAAAACCCACTTTATTGAGGTATGATTTACACAGCGAAGCACGCACCTTTCAGCATATGTCTGAGGACCTTTGCCAACATCTTGGCTGTTCTAGAGAGCTCCCTCCCTCGTGCTGCCCTTGCAGGCTAGAAAACAACCGTCAGGCTTCTCTTGCCTTAGGAAATGCTCAGGTTGAAGGCAGAGTACGGTTTGGGTGGGATGCCCGGGGGATTTGAGTCAAGATCCTAGGATCTGGGCTCCACTCTGGAACATTGACGGCCTCTTTATATGCAGTTCCCAGGTGGTATGCACGGTTGCTGTGCTCAGCCTTGAAAGAAGGGCCGGCGGTCCACTTCCGAAGTGGTTGCAGTGAAACCCCATATGGAGCATAGCTCTTCTCTGACGAGCTTGGGGTCACCATGGACCAGCATGGATACTGCAGTGAGGGGTTTGGGGTTTTGTTGTTCATTGTGTTTGCTTACTCACTGTAATTGGAGAAGTGATGGCCATTTCCTTTTCGACCCTCAGTATGCCCAGCGTGTTCTCACTCTGGAGCTGATGTGTTGGCTCCAATTCTCCTCCATCAGACTTTGCATAAGTAGCTCCTCATTATCACTCAGGATGCCCCCTCCAGCGTTCCAATGCCTCCTCCTCCCAGAAGCCTTCCCTGACTGCCCTGACTGAGTTGCATCCCTCGCCCGCTTCCTAATTTTGTTTCACATCACAGTTAGCATAGTAGTTCATTAGATTTTGACTTATTTATCAGTCTCCTCCACTGCAGTTCATGTTGATTAGTGCGGGGCCAGTAACTGATTCCCACTGCCATTGAGTTCATTCTGCCTCATAGCGGCCTAGAAGATAGAACACAACTACTCCTGACGGCTTCTAAAATTGTAAAAAACCCCTTTTTTTAATTTAATAGTTTTGTTAGTACTTTATTTATATGTCATCCAGTTTAATAATTCAATAATATCAAGAAGAGTTGTACAGTTGTCATCATATTCAATTCTAGAACATTTTCTTTTTCCTTGAAGTCATTATTATTCATTTAATATTATTTTCTAATTGTGGCAAAAATGTACACAATAGAACAGTCTCCAATCCACAACTTCTACTTGTATAACTCAGTGTCATTGATTATACGCTTTGTGCTGTACAGCCACTACTGATATCCTTTTCCAAACTATTCCACCACCATTGACATAAATTCACTGTACCCTATGCAACAACTCTTTCCCCTTCACCTATGGTAACCAATGGTCAAGTTTGGTTTCTTTGTTTTTTTTTAACCTGAGGTTTCCTTGATATAGTATTCACCTAGCATATACTTCCATGGCTACATCACTTTTAAAATGAGTTGTATAATCACAGTCAGTTCTAGTGTTCCCTATACTCTCCCACACTCATTGTAATCCCCTCACCCTCCCTATCTCCCACCCTCACCTCCACAGCCCTTATAAACTCTTGCATCAGTCATTACCTTTATGCATCTACGGTGCTTCATAAACAAGGAAACCCAACAGAAACAATGAAAAACAAAACCAAAATAAAGTGGTAAGGATAAAATAATAATAATATAAATAATGAGTAAGTAAGAAGGGACCACCATCAACATTCAAAAAACCAGGGAAGTTTTTGTCATGGAATAAGCAAGAAACACTTGAGCCTAGAAAAAATTTAGGTTGGGTGAAGACGGAGGTCAACTGACAAAGTATCAAGTTCAAGCCAGTTTACAGTGATCACTGTCCGATAACAAAGCTGTTCAAGACTCTTGCCTGTGGCTATAGGGGATCTGCTAGAGTCTTAATCTGACTCGGTACTCTGCAGATGGGTTTTGGGCTCCCACTTTCCTCAACAGCCATCTACAAATTGGTTGTTCATTTAGTCTCTGATACTTTTCCCTTTGTCATATTTGGATTTTGTTATTGTCATCTTTGGATCACGCAAGCTGGTGGGCTTTTTCCAGGTGGACTTAGTTGACTCCTCACTTAGATGAGTGCTTGTTTGAATACAAGCCTTTAAGACCCCAGACACTTTTGATTTATAGCTGGGCACCATGTGCTTTCTTCATCACACTTTGCTATAACACCCTTATCTTCAGTGATCATTTCATGAAGGTTGAAACTGTAAATGTTTACGGGAGCAGACAACGTCATCTTTCTCTTTTGGAGCAGCTGGTGGGTTTGAACTGCTGATCTTGCGGTTAGCAGCCCAACCCTAACTGACTGAACCACCTGGGTCCCTTAGTAACAACATAAGCAGATGAGGAAGGGTAGTTAAAGAGAAAGGTGGTGTTGGTTAGGTCCAGCTTTGGGTGTGATGTTCTCTGCTTGTGCCAACACTTAGCCTTCCCCCTGCCCCTTGGTTGACATCCCCTGGGAAGGTCACCTGTACCTTTCCCAAGTGTTTCCTTGTTTTTAAAAACCTAACCTGGATAATAATACATAATTGATCAAAGATTCATGGGAGGGGGAAGGGAGTAGCTGATACCAAGGGCTCAAGTAGAAAGAAAATGGTTTGGAAATGTTGATGGCAACATATGTACAAGTGTGCTTAATACAATTAAATAATGGATTGTTATAAGATTTGTATGAGCCCCCCAATAAAGTGATTAATAAAAACAAAACCAACCTAACCTGGAGACTAAAGATCTGTAGTTGACCTTGGGAAAGTATTCGAAGGCTTTGAGATGATGAGAAATGGATAGAACCTGAATACAAATAGCACCCCTCTTCCTTAGCTCTCCTCCATCCCAGATAGGAAGAGAGGACACTGGGAGGGGATGGGGATGGGGTCCAGCAGATCCCCACAACCTCAGGAGACCAGGTGCAAAGGGGCAGGGCTAATAGCCTGGTTCCAGGTTAAACCTGTGCAGCAGCTTCCTGGCTGTGTGACCTTGAGCCTTGGTTTACTGTCTGCCTAGAGACAGAATCCACAGAAAGCATTTCTGGGCTCCTTTCTTGAAGGGAGACATTTAAAGTGATGCCAATAGTGTCCGGTCTCTGGTAAATCGCCTTGGTCAGTCCCCAACTGTTGCTCCAAGGGACTTGAAATGTTGGGATCAAAGCCTGCCCCAAACAAGAATCACTGCTATCGGAAGGAGTCCGAGAAGACAAATCTTTATGGGAGCAGATAGCCTCATCTTTCACCCTCAAATCAACTGGTAGTTTGAACCCTTGACCTTGCAGTTAGCGAACCAAGGCCTAACTCACAGTACCACCTGGGCTCTTTAGATACAAAAGGAGGGAAGGAAATCCATGGGGTTTCAGACTGTCTGGCACCTTCCCTGCATTCTTCATTAAATCCTCTCCGCAGTTCCACGGACTGGATAATACTGCCATTGCGGGGCTGAGTCAACGTGGACGATTCTGTGTGGTTCCACGTAGCTTCTAATTGTGTTGATTTCCTTGCTTCTCCCTTTCTCTTCCCTTACCATGTGGCAGCTTGCTCCCGGAGGCACAGCACTGGACGCATGGGGTTGTTGTGGCTCCGGGCACCCTGGGGTGTGCAGAGTGGAGTTGCACTCTACAGAGCCTTCCAGGATGGGGCCTTTCAGAGGAGGCACCTCTGGGTGCTCCAGCCACTGACCTTTTGTGTAGCCGTCCAGCGCTTAGCCATTTGCGCCCGCCATCCAGGGAATGGGATTTTCAGTAGCTGCTTGTTTGGGGAGCCGAGAATTTAATCACCAGGCTTTTCTTCTACGGGACTTCTGGGTAGGCTCGAACTTCCCACTTTCCGGGTCACACCGGAGGGCACTGACTATTTGCACCACCCAGTGACTCTCGCCTGGTGCGCAGTAGGTGGCAATGGTTGCCTTCTGAATGAACAAGACAAATTCTCTCTTCTTTCAGGGCCCTTGCAGATGTCATGAGGCCACAGGGCCACTGCAACACCGACCATATGGAAAGAGACCTAAACATCGTTGTGCACGTCCAGCATTATGAAAACATGGATACACGGACCCCCATCAATAACCTTCGTAAGTATAGCCGCGCCACTCGTTTTCAGTTGTGCCTGGTGACCCTGTGGTGGTCTGCTGTCCCAGATTTTATGGTGTGTGATTGGCTTAGCCGAGAGCTTCTCCCTTGGCCATTCGGTAGTCTTTCATATGAAACTGAGTTTGGTGCCGCCAGATTCTTCATGGTTGTTTTCTTATGAACTACTCATTCAGTCATTTGTTTTCTCCTAGTTGTTGGCTCTTCTGTTAAATAGTATACTACTTGTTAGGCTTATCTTGACTGCTTCATCGATTAACAAGTGACCCTCTGGGTTTGTTCATCTGGCTGTGTACTTGCCAAACAACAGATCACTTGGTGGGTCCTTCTTAGGTAGTTCATGCCTAGAGTCCATTTTGGCAGTTCATCTTGCCTGAGTAATGGCTTTGCCAGTGGTTCGTTCACTGGTCTGCTATCTGAGGTAGACCCGGGGTGTCCCTTAGGTTTCCAATTGCTATCAGTGAAAAGATTCAAGGGCAAGAATGAGACCTACTTTTCATAGCCCCGACATTTGCCAAAATTAATTCACAAAGAAGATATATTTTGTGGTGGTGGTGGTGTGTGTGGGAATTCTGGCCATATTGGTTTGAGTATATAGGTGCGCTCAATGGAAGTAAATTCGCCCCCAGTTTTCTCCTCGGAAAAACCAAAACGGAACAGAAACATCCTTGGTTTGGTGGTGCTGAATTCCTTCCCAGTTAGACTGCGCTTGGGCCTGGTGGTCTGCTCACAAGTAGTTTTCTTTTCTTTCAAAGGTCTGTGTACACAACAGCACACACGTGATGGAGCTGACGCTCTGGCTAATGGGAGTGGAAGAGAGAGAAGATTGCTTAGTTTTTGACAATAATGTACTACTGTGGTTATTCCTAGCAATTATGTTTTCAAGTAACCCCCACATTAAAGTAATGTGGAGGGCTTGGTTTGAAATAACAGAAGCCAGACGATTCAAGGGATGCGTTCAGTTGTGGCTAGAGATTCCTAGTAGCAGAAGCAGTGCTGGCATTACACACGGTAAAGCCTGGGTCGCCTCTGCGGAGGCTCCTCCAGGAGCTGCAGTGGGGCTTTATTTGCTGAATCATCATTTTGGACTTTGGGGAGCAAAGTTCTGTGCTCAGCAGGCAGGGGAAGATGCCCGCGACCTTTGACATGGGTGACAGGCAGGGTGATGATTTCTTCATGGCCTGGGGAATGGTTGCAGTGTGTTAGCAAAGCCAGTGTCTACCTGGTTCGGAAAATGGGCCACTGAACAGAACAGCTTTGGCTTCCCGGCATGAAAGAATGTGACAGTCTTTATTTACATCCCAGATGAATAATGGTGAAATGGATGAGGCCTGGCTAGCTCTCAGAGCAAAATGCAGCAGCACTTGGAATGTCATGATAAACCCCCCTGGAAGATCTCGAACCTTGTACCTCACGGACATGGCAGTCAATGGCTGTGCTCAGTTCTGGCGCTGGTGCAAACAAACCCATTCTCTTCTCTGACCCATTTTGAATAGGGAAATACTTTGAGCCTCCAGGAATGTGCTACCCAGACGTGAGTGAGAGAATGTGGGTTAGAGAAAGAGCTGGTCTATTCATGGGGACCATTTGTGGTTTTAAATTCCAGGATGTGTTTGGATCAGCGCTCAAATGGAAGAACTAACTCATTGAAATCACTCAAGTTTCACCTCCTATGGGGCAGACATGGAGCATGAATGAATCTTGTCTAATCAAGGGAATTTCATTTCCAGTTGTATTGATAATAAATGACTGCCCAGAGATGGGTTTCCAGGCACGGAGTCACATTCAGATGATTCTGGTGACAAGGCCATTGGTTGTGTAGGACTGTGGCGTTGAGTCTACAATTGTACCTCAGGACTCAGTGGTATTTTGAAGCCAAAAAAGGGTATCTTGTGAAGGTCTCTTAGACTGGAAATAAACAACATGGATGAATTCCAGGCATGATATCATAAATTGAACTTTTAAAGAAAATAATTTTATTGGGGGCTCATACAACTCTTATCACAATCCATACATACATCCATGGTGTCAAGCACATTTGTACATTTGTTGCCATCCTCATTCTCAAAACATTTGCTTTCTACTTAAGCCCTGGGTCTCAGCTCCTCATTTTTCCCTT